ATCATAATTTTGATCATAAATTCATTTATTTATTATTTGTTTCTAAGCTGTTGAACTGCTGTTTGAACTGTTACTTTTATATTTAAGAAATAACACTCAACGTTTCAATAAAATCTCCGGTGTATTTTAAATCAAATTTCCTCTTCCTGTTAAAATCTGTGTTGAATTGGGAAATCATTGGATTAAATAACTAGATATTTGTAGTTAACTTTGCCTCTCAGTATGTATTGCAGATCCAAAAGTTTGTAGTCTTGTATATTTACATGTACTTGAGGTGGTGGTTTTTTTTTAAGATCTAAAATACATAATATTGAATATGTTTTACCTTCAAAAATAACAACAACAACAAATGAATTGCTTGTTATCATTTGTTTACTCCTTTTTTCAGTGAGTATCACACATTGTGCATGTTTATTTTTTAAAATCCCACAATAATTATTGTAACGTATAAATGGGTTTTGAAGAAAATTAATGAGGACACATAATTTGAATTCAATGTAAAAAAAAAAAAAACAAGATGTGTTTGTGAAACACTGATGCCCCCGTATGGCAGCTTATGGCGAAGGTTAAAGTTTCTCAAATGCAAGTAAACATCCAGGCCAAAAGATAAAAAAATGTTAAATTTGAAAGCCCTAGCTGCAACTGTTCAAAAGTTATGGCGAAGGTTAAAGTTTTTTAAAAATAAGTAAAACATCAAGGTCAAGGTCAAAGTTGTTGGTATCCAAAGAAAGGTCTTGTCACAAGGATTACATATGTAAAGTATAAAAGCCATAGCACCAACCATTCAAAAGTTATGGCCAAGGTTAAAGTTTTTTCAAAAGTAGGTCAAACTCCTATGTCAAGTCAAAAGGTCAAAGTGGTTGGTATCCGAAGAAAGGTCTTGTCACAAGGATTACATATGTGAAGTATGAAAGCCCTAACTCTAACCGCTCAAAAGTTATGGCTAAGGTTGAAGGTTTTCAAAAGTAGGTCAAACTCCTAGGTCAAGGTCAAAGGGTCAAAGAGGTTGATATCCAGAGGAAGATCTTGTCACAAGGAATACACATGTGACGTTTCAAACCCCAAACACAAACTGTTCAAAAGTTATGGCCAAGGTTAAAGTTTTTCAAAAGTAGGTCAAACTCCTAGGTCAAAAGGTCAAAGTTGTTGGTATCCAAAGGAAGGCCTTGTCACAAAGAATACACATGTGACGTTTAAAACCCCAAGCACCAACTGTTCAAAAGTTATGGCCAAGGTTAAAGTTTTTCAAAAGTAGGTCAAACTCCAAGTCAAAAGGTCAAAGTTGTTGATATCCAAAGGAAGGCTTTGTCACAAAGAACACACCTGTGAAGTTTGAAATCCCAAGCACCAATTGTTCAAAAGTTATGGCCAAGGTTAAAGTCTCATAAAATTTTGCAAAAGTGGGTCAAACTCCAAGGTCAAGGTCAAAAGGTCAAATATGATGGTACCCAAAGAAAGGTCTCGTCACATGGAATACACATGTAAAATATGAAAGTCATAGCTCCAATCAATCAAAAGTTATCGGCAGGTTAAACCTGACAACAGACAAACAGACAAACAGATAAACAGACAAACAGATAGACAGGACAAAGACAATATACGCCCGGGATCTTTCGATCCAGGGGCATAAAAAAGTGTAAAACTTGGGGGTGGGTGATTATGTTTGAATAAACATGTATGTGTGACACGAGTTATGCAGCTTTTTTTAAATCCCATTACCTAGGAATTAAAAGAAAATTTGTTTGATGAAAATCGTATTAAATAAAAATGATTCCGTCCTTCAATTATGAAGAATATATAGTTGCAGTTGGAGAAGTCTTGACTACTTTTATTATTTGACAGCAAATACTATCGCACAGTATTTCCATCTAAAGTGCCCAGTTGCAACTTGTAACACCGACATCTTTAAGAACTCATTCACGCTAGCTACTATAAGACTGGAATAATTTACTAACACATATTATTAACTGTAAAATTATATAAAAGTTGCAGTTGCGACCAGAGGTGACTAGAACCGGGGGGGGGGGGGGGGGCACTTTTTTGTATATAGTATTTTTGCTTAAGTAAATATTTTGCTTTAGATGCTGATCCCCCCACCTTTTTGTTTCTGTAAGGTTGCGCACAGGACTTGGATGGTTTTATTTTTTTGCTTGTCAGATTTCTCTGGGAAGTGCCCCTTCCTCACTTTATAAACCGTTACTACGGGCCTGAGTCTGGATAAATATTGCTCATTGGTGAGCTAATTTCCATTATTTATTCAGATATATATATCCAATGAATTAGAACTTCTTGAAAAACTGCTGATAAAATTTTTGAACTAAGTGCCTAAATAAATCCAAGAATGGTCAATTATTTATTTGCTACTAGCATTGGAGTTCATGCATTTGCCTGCAAAGAACACAAAACATTCGCAGATGGTATAAGACTGCGTTAGAATTTGACAATCACAGAAAATATGCTTCCTCAACCCCCAAACGAACAATTAAATTGAAATTATAAGGAATAATAATTTATTATTTTATTATTGCATGTTTCGAACAATCCTCCAAAAGACATTTCTGTCTGTGACTTAAACACACAACCACCTACTGGAAATATCGAAATACGCTATCACCGCAGAACGTCCGAAAAAAACATTGCTGTCACTTTAATGTAGTCAAGTACTATTCATATCTTACGTAAACAAATCATGTGTCTACGAGATGGATCCCTGGTCTGTATATGGAAAAATAAAGGGGAATTCGTATGTGCTCAGAATGAATCGAAATTCCCAAATTTAAATGGGGGTTCTCGAAGGGGGTGAAATGTGACGTTGCTTTAGACACTGTGATGTTATCATCCGAACACAACATAAACCCCCGTACTAGTATTTGGTTTATTTGAGCTTATATATCCATTTGAAATTTGTTATAGATATTGACGCAAAATGAAGGAAAGTGTTGTGAACATTTTAGACCGTGGTGTTGATTATTTTTCAATGTAGACAACTTTTCCACGAATTTTACCTAAGAAACCTCATATATGTAGACTGCAAAGCGCATTAACTGTTAGAGAAATGTAAACATTTATTGTACATAAAGCTCAATTACAAAGTCTTCTACATGCTACATGTACAAAAATACATGTATACAGGAGAGTTTGAAGTGATATGAACATACTTTTTTTTCCTTTAAGATGGCTTAAAATTTAGTAACACTGTTTTCAGTTGCATTTCTTCACGCTAACGTTATCAGCGTCATGACGTCGTAAATAGGCGACGTCGATAAGAAAACTATGCTACATTCAACAATATGGTTTGGAGTGATTAAATATCCGACAAAAATAATTTTAGTAATTTTTCATTCTACACATTCCTATTTTAAAAAATCTGCAATAATTAGCTTATTTGAAAGAGGGCCGATTTTTAAAGGAGCTGAACTTTGTTCTTTTTTAATCTTTTAATTAGAGAAGAAATAACTTTTCATTATAAAAGTGATTCCATTGTTTGTATTAAAACAGTTGTACAATTTACAGAAACTTAAAATGTATTTATCATAAAAGTCTTTTTTTCATATATTACTTCACTAAAAAAGAGGCTTTTCTAATTATCAATACTTTTGGGTAAGTCGTTAGAGAAAATCAAACTCGAGAGTTTCGCTGATGTTTTGCCGTCATTAAGAACCTTCAACATCTTTAGTCAGCGATGAACTCGCCCTCCAGTGTTCATTGTGGCATAATTAGGTCAAATAAGTATGGCGGTCTCCAAATTGGGAAGGGTAATCTTGACCGCACACAGAGTAATTTTGAACAAAGCTCCAATTAAAAAAAAACTGTAATCGAAATTTCGTCATCTTGCGTCATATGTAATGGAAAGAAATCATAAAAGAGTGATTCAAGTATACTGACAAAAAAGATGCGGTAGTTTTCAAAATGTGAATATGACATCGAGTGCACGACCCTGATTCACTGAGTTGCATGGCATTAGGAACAGGAGGGGGGGGGGGGGTCAGGGCTTGCCCACAATAATTTTGCCGATATATAGAATACTAATAAAGACATACCTACTTCATGCCTGTGAAGACATACCTACTTCATGCCTTTTCTTCTCGGGGAATTTTTGGTACTTGATAGTGCCCCCAACAAATATGTTAGCATGTGCCCCCCTCCCCAGATTGTTTCCTACGGACCTCAGTTGTCAAGGCATGCTTCTAATTTGCCTACATAGTGGCATATGAACCGAACAGAGGAATTTTCACTGTTCTGCTGACGACGAACTTCAAAGTTAACGAAAATTTATCATTCTCACAAATAAAAAAAAAAATCTCCATGACATGCGATCGAATTTTTTATGTTTTCAGTGGTCCATGTTTGATTTGCTTACAATGTGTATTGTTATAATGAATTTTTGATTTGTAACTGTATGTTGTTTTCAGATTTAATTTAATTTCTTTAAAAGACGAATTATGTGTTCAAGAATCATAATCAACTACAATTACATTTTTTTTTATTCCCAAATTTTTTGCAATAAAACATTATAACAAGATGAGCCAAACATGGCCTTGCTTATCGATAGCAAATGGAGTGTTTCAACAGCGAACTAAGACGTTTAATGGGGGCATTTAACCGTATTACGCTGCAAATCCTCGTGTCTTTTGATGATTCTAAACAGGCCATAAAGAGATAATTCGCATTTACTGAAGTCGGCAAAGAGATATAAAATCACAACACTTTTAATCAGAAATAAAAAAAATTAGGCAAAATAACTGGGATTTTATATTGTATTTAATCTAACATTAAATATACCTTTAAAAAATTAAGTTTATTAAAATATTTTTTTTAATTTACAATTTTATCAATTTCAGTTAAACTATCCGCTCATTTTTTTTCTTCTGGCAGAATTCGTAACTATTTAAAGATTGCTTGATTTCACTGTTCTTTAAAATGCATAAATGCATAAATAAATAATAGTGATGATTTAATCACCAAGACGATAAATATTTATTCACCAATACTCTAATACGCCCATTTTATTCATAGATTTATTATTTAAACTCGTTATTCATAAAACACAAATCACGTCAATTTTCTTTAGATATTTATCATTTAAATTCGTAATTAATAAAACACTAATACGCCCCTTACATTCAGGGATTTGTAATTAAAAATCGTAATTACATAATAATAACGTAATAAAATTCAAAAATTTTGTTGAAAAATTAAAATGTTTATTTCATTGCTTTATAATAGTTATAAAAGTACCATATTGAATTCTCCAAAGGTTTACCATAGACAATAGTAGTCGATTGAATTATCAATTGCTTTATTTTAAACAATAGTATTCTATAGAATTATCCAATGTTTTATCATAGACAATAGTAGTCTTTTGAAATCTCCATTGAATTATCTATCTATTTCTTTTCTCCGTTATCATCTGCATCTGTAGAGAAAATAAAAGCAAAATAAAAAGAGAGATTAACAAGAAAGTTTAACCTTCTATTGCTTAAACCCGCAATTTCAGACTTAAAAAATTTAATATAAATCCATCAGAAAAAAAAATTATAATTTGAATAAGAAATGTTTACCTAGTGACGTCTTACTAACATCATTGTCTCCTTAACATCTGTTCCACTCCTTACTGTAGGCCACCAAGGCCAGGACCAGACTGCCGGGGACCATTGAATGTTAAGGAAGGCGGCGTGACAGTTGTTAAACCACCAGCCTCCTCTTATGGTACTGAGAGCAGCACAGTTACCACTATACCTGTCGTTGTCTCTGTCTGGTGTGGAGAATGACATCCCAGACAGATTATAGTCAGAATTCCCCGTGTGTAACATACTGTCAACTGTAGAATTAAAGGTAATACGTTAATTATTATCAGTAAGCGTGACGAAGTCTCATTATTCTTTTCGTAATATTCACTTCTTAAAACTGACTTTATCGGACTGAAAACAAATCTACTACTAGTATGTTAGTATATCATTGAACAAATAGGAATGCTTTAAAATGACGAATATAAACAAAATTTATCCTTCCCGGTATTTGATATCCCTCCTTTTTTTGTTTTCGTGTACAATTTATTATCATATCTTTCATCCATGCTTCGATAATTATTTAATGTGATTACACCACAAATAGGACTTAATGAATGTATAAAAAAGGTTTTAATTTTCACAATGTAACATATGTAATCAATATGATTGCGCCCATTACAAAAGGGCCTTATGGCAATTTTGCTAAAACAGAGAAATAACGTCATTATACATATATCACATGGCTTCGAGGGTGACATACCAGAATGTTTGCCCCCAAGGTGACAGGAAAGTCCTGGGGTGTTATGTCACCCGATGCCGAATTTTTAAAATTAAAAAATCGTCTAAAATTCTTTAAGTTTAGACAAATAATCCAAAATGCTTTCATGACGTTAGAAATACTCTCCGTTGTTTACATTTGCTTAGCAACCGACGTCATTACATCTCGAACACGAGCTACAATTGCGTAACATAAAAAAACGTGGAAGTGAACGAAAGGGTGTTATAACTGTTTCCGTCGGGTGACATAACTGTTTCCGGTGTGATTCAGCATTCTTCAAGGTTTATAGTGAAACTTATTACATTTGTGATATAATAGGAAAACTTATTCAAAAATGTTATATAAAGATATGACGTTGCAGATGGCGAGCGTCGACGTAGATTTTTTTATCCACGTGTTTTACGTTTGACACGTCTAGCTTTTGTCGTTGTTCTCAACATTGAAATAATTATTTATTTTCATTTATATCTTTAATTCAGTTTTGAATTAAAGATATAAATGATCTTCTAGTCCACTGATATTTATTAAAATATTTAGAATTTTATTCGAGACCCGCCGTTTCTTTACTACATGTAGCTTTAACGTTTCTGATCTAGGCTATTCATTTCCTAGATGTATAGAACCTTCAGACATGACAATTTTCTGGATAATTGAATATGGATGAACGAATGCAATTTTGATATATAGACAAATTGAAGACACGGGTATATTATAAATATATTGCAAAGGAAATCGTTTTCCTGCATAAGATCTGCTCCACCATTCTCAACACAAAAATGGAATGTTTATATTGTAAAACTTCATACATGTATACAATAACATTAGAAAACAATAACATTAGAATTTCATACGATAAAGAAGCCGCGAGAAAGGGGTAGGGGGATTCTACACACACCATTACATAAGATATTTACATGTACCTACATGTGTGCAACCTCGCAAAAATCTGTCATTTCAAAACTCAGCCAGTCAAAGAATATTACGAACCAGTCACATTTAACTGACTGTATATATAAAATTTTCGATTAATTTTTACTCGCAGGTATGTTAAGGCAGTACCCAGATCATATTTCGGCGAATTTAGACTTTTTTCGTAAAATGTAACATTGATAAATCGGAAAAGCCATAGATAAAACATTTACTATTATTATCCATTGTATAGACGTCATTGAGTCTTAGGCTAAAAGAAGCACTCCACTACGACGTCATCACGTGACGTCTATAAATAGAAAAATTGCCTTAATGGAAAAGTTAAAAGTTCAACACTACCCCGGAGATAATTCATTTCTTTTAGTGAAAATAATTATTTAAAAACATCACTGGGCCATGAAAAGTGCTCCTAGAATCCTACTCTCCCGACACAGAAAAAAATATTCCAAAGTTTCGCATGAAACCTTACCAAAATTTTTACACTTTATACATACGATCATGGAATCGTTATCAATTCATGTTAACCACACGATTCTAGCAGCACTTTCCAAGTACTATAGAATACAAGCTTTCGATACAAACAAAGATTATGTTTCAAAGTATGCGGCGTAGTGTTGAACTTTTGCATCTTTGTTGTTATAGATCGACAGAGGAAAGGCTGATCGGGATTTCAAAGCACGGCCTGTGTTCATTATAAGAAAACACGATAAGAATATATCAGCGTATCTGATTTTTAATCTTTAATTCCTTATGAATCACACATAACATTCACGGTATATGCTTTAAAACTCCCATTTCATATATTTGTTTACATGAATTCTCGTCACCTTTAATTTCACTTGGCAAATAGTTGATCAATAGTTATGACGTCATGGGTTTGGTATTTAACCCCCGTGCTAAATAATTACCTACTTATACCACCCAAAAACGACAAGATTTAGTTTATATTATGTTTTTAATGATTCCATCCATTTCTTTGACCTGAAATTAAACTTTAAATATAGATATTAAGAAATCATTATTTCTAAGGTTCACGTCATACAGCTTACTATGACGTCATAATGTTAAGGCAAGTAGGATTTCTCTGGGTGTAGCCTTAACATACCCGCGCTGCCCACCCCCCCCCCCCCCCCTCCCGCGCCGAAAAAAAAAAATTATTAATTAATCTGCATGATTCATAACGACAACATATACGAGGGTTGTCCGTAAAGTTCGTGGACAAGCTAAAATTTAAATAAAAGTTGCGTCCTATATATTTATTATTAGCATATTTATAATCCTTTACTATATGTGAATTACAAAAAGAAAAATTTTATTCAATTTTAAGTGTATAATTACAATTATGACTTCATTATTAAACTTGGGATGGTGACCCGGAGCACAACAAAGTTTTAATTAAAAAGTTATTTATCACTTTATACATTTCATTTGTATTTTGTAAAATTCCGCGGAAATTTGGATGGCTTTTACATTATAAGGTTGACAAAAATTATAACGTCAAACCTGTAAAATTTGAACGTTCAAAGTTTCGAAATGGCAGAGAAATCGAGGTCAGGGTTTATTAAGATAGTTTCGTCATTGGTCGAAAAAGGGACGTTTTCGGAAAAGGTGGAGCAGAGAGTAGTGATAAAATTGTGTGTAGACATCGGAAAAACACCAACAGAGACCCATTAATTCCTTAAACAGTCGGGAAATCATAGTAAAGTAATCTATTCTTTAGTGTTTAAGTGGCCCAGAAGATTTTCGGACGAAAGAGACTGTTTACTGGATGACATGCGTGAAGGAAGACCATCGTTCCGAGATTGTAGTGCTGTAAAAAATGAAGTTCGTAACGTGACTTTGCCGTATTTCTGTACATACAGTCGTTTTACACGGACAGAGGTTTCATGATTTGCAGGATCTGAGACAGGAAGTCGTTAAATATTATTTCATGTATGAAACCAGAACAGTTTGTTCACATTTTTGATGACTGGTTGAAACGACATAAGAAATGTGTTGAGTGAAACGGTGACTGCGTTGAGAAAACTTAAATGTATTTAGCATTTGACGTCGAGTAACGTCAAGGATTTTCGTTTTACTGCTCCGGGTATGAGTGTGTATCTTTTTTGTATCTGATAAAATATAAATTTTGTGCTTTGTTTGTGATTAAAACTTGCATATTAATAAACTGAAACATCAACTTAATGAAAATAATAGTTTCATATATTTTATCAATGTATGTCAGTAAATATCAATGTTGTCCACGAACGTTACGGACAACCCTCGTATATATATTTATTTACTTTTTTTTTAGAAAAATCTATTTGATATTAATCAAAAAATCATATATTGATTTCATTCAAAGTTCGGATAAATTTGTTTAAATGATAATAAAATGTCCAATATCTATTAATACCCAGGGTATACATGTTCTTCTAAAACCATTTAATTTTACAAAATCAAACAAAATTGTTATTCTAAGATGCCACTTTTCTCATGATTGACTAGATTTGATAGCAGTTAAGTTTCCAGTTCCAGGCATTTGGAGCTCATGATCGCTGTTTGTTTTGAAAATGACCCTGCTCATATACCAAAGGAGAGAGCTCAAGGTGCAAACATAAACTGAGGAATTATTTCAAATATTATTTCAAACCTAACCAAATGGGGTATTTGAAGGTTATGGGGTTGGTGGTGGGAAGGCATCCCCCCCCCCCCCCCCCGCACACCTAAAATTTAGAAAGATTTTAAAAATACGACAACCCTCGTATGCTTATTAAACTCATATTAACTACAAGTATTACAAGCGTCTGTCATTTAACATTTAACACCCTCTCCCTCCCCTACACAATTCAACCACTGGTCGTCCTGGGTCTGTTCCTTTCATTAATGCATGTGAATTATAATTCATCCATATGTTTATAATTTGTCAACCTGCTTACTTCAAAGTAATTATTAAAATGTTTTCGTTACTGTGACTGAAAAAATGTGTATCATTTGAATTTTAAAAAGAAGTTTTGTTACCACATGCAGGAAGAAGTCCTTCTGAAATTTTGTGTGATTTTTTTTTTCGAATAATCCTTAACATGCAGTGTATCAACTTAATGTCCTTAAATTGTTGTACAGCGTATACGGTAACTCACTACATTTCACGAATTTACTGTCTAATTATATTTAGAAAAAAACAACAACAAAAAATAAAAATCAAAAACACATTTTCACTAACATCTACCTTTATTGTTATTCCCGAGGATTCTTTTCAAATATTTTTAACTTCACATTTTGAAAGATATATCGTTTATACTGAATTCAAACTAAACAAAAATTGACTTCTTTTCCTATTGAGAGCCATGCAAAAAAATTGTTTTTGTTTGTTTGTTGTTTAACGTCCCTCTCGAGAATTCTTCACTCATATGGAGACGCCACCACTTGCCGGTGGAGAGCTGTAAATTTTGTCCTATACTCGGCACTTACGGCCATTGAGCAGTGAGGGATCTTTTTCGTGCCAGCACCTACTGCGACACAGGACCTCGGTTTATTCGGTCTCATCCGAAGGACCGGTCTCCACGTCCCACAGTGGGATTCGAACCCACGACGTAAGGATCAACTCCTTACTCCGCGACTCTAGAGCAGACGCTCTAACCACTGCGCCACGCGGGCGACCAATCATATATGTAAAAAAAAAAAAAAAAACAACAACATATATATATGATTATAAGAATCTGTTAAAAATAAAAAAAAAAAAGATTCGTATATTTAAAAAATACGTAGATAGATAATAAAAACAATCCAGCATGAAATCAGGTATCTACCTTTATTTTGATAATTTTTTATTATATTGTAACCGAATTAAACAAAATCTATACAGTAATAAACTAGGGAAAATAAAGAAAAAAAACTGAAAACAGAGGTGACAAATTTTTATTGGTGTTTTCATTATATATGTTTCATAAACATTAAATAAATAATACCTAAACTTCTTTTAAACATTGAGCATGAGGCCAACTTAAGAAAAATGTTTGTTTGACCTCTCTCAAATCGGTCTGAATATATTGTATCGGTAGGTAAGTGAGAAATCTTTTCTAAGAAAATTTCTATTTAAATGCTTATTTTTTAAATTATATTTTCCTAAGTACAAATAAAAATATTGCTTCCTGGAGGTTAAAAAAAGTTTCGAGTCGGGCCAAATATAGCCACTCGGTCGGAAGAAGTCAACCAAACATTTTTTTTAAATGGTCTGATTCAATTTGTAATAATTATTGCTCTCTCCTTCCCTCTCCTTCTCTCCCCTTCCCTCTCTTTTCCAATTCTCTTTCTGTCAAACCAGTTACACACCTTCCCTCTTTTTCTCCTCATCTCTCTTTCTGTCACACCATTTACTCCCATCACTCTTCTTCCCTCCCCTCCCCTCTCTTCCTCATCTCTCTTTTTGTCACACCAATAACTTATTACATACCTAAGGTTCCGGTAGCTGGCCCTCCAAGAAAAAGGCTGTAGTTGTCTGCTTCATCATTAATAGAAAACTGTTGATAAAGTTCATAAAACGTTGTGCCATTTTTTAATGTAATGGAGACGTACAGGGAAGAGTTTCTTCCCTTTGTCAGCTGGTGAATAGCGTCATTTCCTACAATATGTCATTTTTTGCGTGAAATATGAAAGGAAAATTATAATTCTAGGAGTATAATATGCATTCGAAAGGTTAATTTTTTGGAATTCCAGGACTGTCTAACTTTAATTATGAATTATTTATAGAGATGTGTCATTAGTGAAAGAAACATGTGTTTCATTGCTAAATTGTGGGATCTTGATACTAAAATATATGTTTTGAAATGAAGTCATAAAATTATATCCGTTTATATATCAACAGAAAAAAATAAATGGATATTGCTCTATATGTTTACATATGTACGTATTTACCAATCCAGTATGAGTCATCAGGGAACCCAAACCCATTCTTGTACTCCGCCCACGTTCTGTCAAAACTCTCGGATCCGCTCACCCGTTTCTGAATTGCCTTCGGGTTAAAAAAGAAACAAATGCTGAGTTTAAAGCGTTATTTGTTTCTTAGTTTGGTATTTTATAGGAAACTCAAATTGTAATTTAAAAAAAAGTTTAGATAGAGAGAAAGAAAAAGAGAAAAATAGACAGAGCTCTTACTGTCCACCCTCCGCCTTCTGTCACCATATCACAGTACACCTCTATCTGACTCTCATTACCGAAGGGACTAATTCTATAAACACCTGACTGTGTTTGTCCTTGTAGATAGTAGTGTTTGCAGTCCACATATAGTTTGAAATCTATATGACAAAAAACGCAAATAAAATAATAATAATAATAATAATAATAAGAGAGAGAGAGAGAGAGAGAGAGAGAGTACCTTTTATAATGGTTTCCAACGTTCTGTTATTTAGAAGTTCGTAAACTTCGGTGATGTTTCTATTAAACTTCTGTTCAATTTCCTGAATCTTTTCATGCCAGTTTTCTTTTTCTCTTATCTGCTCCTCAGTCAGAGAATCAACCTTCCTTTGTAATATTTCTACCTTTCGTTGTAAAGCTTTATCCTGACTTAGAGTATTAACCTGTCTCTCTAATGTTTCAACTCTCTTCTCCAAAGTTTTGTCCTGCCGTAGGGTATAAACCTGCCTTTGTAATGTCTCTACTTTCTGCGCTAAAGTATTGTCCCGATTTAAAGAATCAACCTGACTTTTCAATGATTCTAATGTCTGCTGTAGCGTGGACACCATCGTTTCTGAAGACGCCATGCTTCGCTTCACAGAACTAAGATCGTCCACTACTGCCTGCACATCCTTGACCACTGCTACACGAATAAGAGTCTCTTGGTTGATGATCTGCCGAAGAACGTCGATTTCCTTGATATCACGTATTTCATTGATCAAAGCCGTAGAGTTCGGATCATACGTACCGGTTAACAAGGAACCCGTTCTGACTTGTGGTATTGGCATAAAAAGCAGAAAAAGAATGGAAAACATCATCTTTTCAATTTTGAAATGAACTTACCAGAACAGAACAATGTTGTGCCTCAATTAGAGATTTCATGCGGTATATATAGAGAGGTTCGGGATCTCCTCAATCAGAAAATGTCATACGGTGTATAAAGAGATGTTTGGGATTTCTAAAAATAAGCGGGATGTAAAAACTTCTATACATGAAAGTACTTAATGTAATAAGTATAACGGGAATCATTTACACTGAGCCAAAAAGAAAACAAAATTATCTCCTACAAATGCTTTTGATTATATCATTAACTTGTTTTTTTTTTTTTTTTTTTTTTTTTTTTTTGTAGACGAAATGATAAATGATAACAGAGCCAGAAGTACTTTTGCAATTGAGATTCTTTGCTGCTTTCTGTATATAATGGAAGCAAATCAATTTTACGAATACATGCTCAGTATTTACTTCCTACTGCATTATAAAATCAATTTCTGGAATCCCGTAACAAAGAACTTCTGAAACTAAACCAAGTTAAGATCACCTATATTTAGTTCAAGTGTTTGCAGATTCTGATATTATATAAATATTTACAGAAACATATTTTGTGGATTCTGTTCTTAACTTAACTCTTCTATGCATATATTGCTTGATTATAGACCAAATGATTTATCTAATTTAATTTTCTTTTGTATAATGAATAAGAATTTTTACAGATATTTTTGAAATTCATATTTAATTTTTAAAATTCATTTTTATCGTAGTAAGTAGATATTAACACGAACTGAAAGTCCCAACCATAACCTTGAAAAATAAACTGAACAAAACGTATGAATTATATAAGAGCATGCTCTTATTTTTTTTCTTTTTGTTTGTTTGTTTATTATTATTTTTTTTTTTTTCGTTTTTTTTTTATGTTTTTTTTTTATTTTTGCAACTGAACACTGAATAATGTAGACAACTTAAATTGCCAAATATGACTATAATTTTGAACACGTTTGAGAATTTGCCGATTTTTTTTTTTCTTCTTACATGTTCGCTTATTCATATTCAATCTAAAATTAAAGTATCCTTTAAAGGAAATATTTCTATCATTTTTCTTCAAAGAAACAAACTATTTAATAATATAAGATTGATATTGTTTTAGTAATTAATTGTGACAGCACAAAGTTATATAATCAAACATTTGCAAAAATATATTTCTAATACCGAAATAAGATTACAGATGATCACTGACAAGAAAATACTCGATGTTGAAATATAAGTAATTTAAAATATGAATTAAAATTTAAAAAAAAAAAAAGGAAAAGATAGATAGATAAATTTCGAATATTAAAATGTCTGGCGTCTGAAACCAAGAAATAGAGAGGAAAATAGCGGAAGAAAGAATGAACGTAATGAAATTTATGGAGATAACGAACAGTATTCAAGCTCAAAAGTCCATTAAACAATACAAAATAGGAGCAGAGCAAACACGGACCTCTAAACATCAGAGGTGGGATCAGGTGCCATGGAGGAGTGAACGTCCCCTGCCGACCGGTCACACCCGCCGTGTGCTCCTTGTCATGATTAGGAAATAACGGAAAAATCCGTCGACAATTCAGTGTGTAAATAATGGCCTAACAATTAGTATGAAAAACGTCAGTCAGCATTTGACTCAATGATAAATTGTATTTGCTGACAAGGTCATTGTATCGACCATAGAACTTACGAAATGATGACTTTAAACGAGACAGCTGATATTCTTGTTTCATCAACTTGTTTGTCAATAATTTACCTCGTTTTAGAAATTGTTCATACGTAGAGCATGCTCTTGCGTATCGAATCAACTGAGAGATATATACCCCGTATGCAGGTGATGAAGGTATATTGCTGCATAAGTAAGGGAAGTTGACGATAGAAAAGTTAAAGTCATCACGTTTATCATAAAGCTTGGTTGTTAGATTACCATTAACGTTTTTTTCAAGTAAAATATCCAAATATGAAACAGATGTGTCAGACTCTGTGGTATCTTTTATCTCAAGCTCAACAGGATGTATCGTATCGACATAAGAATGAAAATAGCCATTGTTAATTGACAATACATCGTCGACATATCTAAATGTCGAGTTGAAGGCCACAGTTAGTGTTTTCTTCTTTTCACGTACAAGATTTTGGACAAATTCTGCTTCATATGAATACAAAAAAAAGGTCTGCTAATAACGGGGTGCAATTGGTACCCATGGGAATTCCAATAGATTGTTGGAAGACCTGGTCTCCAAAAATCACATAGATATTGTCAATCAGAAACTCAAGCATCTCTTTAATGTCAACTTCAGAGTACTTGTTTGTACAATCAGAATGTTTTTTAACAAAATAATTTTGCAAACGACCAATGACAAGGTAAGTATATTTACGAGTTCCATTTTTATTGAAAAAGCAGCTGTCAATTATATCAAAAAGCCTGGACATTAATTTATCGTGGGGAATGGTTGTGTATAAAGTAGAAAAGCCATAAGTTTTTAAGCTGTTGATTTTGGTAAAATCTTGCGATTTCAAATTTTCCAAAAGTTCCTTGGAATTTTCAAGTATCCACATCTGATTTACATCACTTCTCGAATATATTGTTGCACAGTACTCTTGAAGTTTCTCCTTCACCACTGTTAATATCTTAGTGAGGAGTAAAGAAAGAGGCTTGGTTGAACATTTACTGGAACCCGCTATGTATCTTTGTTTGTAAGGATTTTTGTGAAGTTTCGGAGTCCAATATAAATATGGTAATTCAAATTCATTTTGGTTGTTTGGAATATTCAAAATATTCAAAACTGACATATGATTTTAAAGAATTTCTTCCTTAGAAAGGGAACTACGAGTATAAGTTGGATTACCACTTGTAGAATTAAATCCAAGTTCCTCTAAAATACATTTAATATAATGAGCCTTACAAACAAAGACAATGTTGTTACCTGCTTTGTCAGCAGGGACCAGTACGTACTGATCATGTAATCTATCTAATTCTTTTTTCACTTCTGGATTATTGAATACAGAAGGATAGATGGTTCTCATATTGCCCCTCAATCTTTTAATGCGTGATTTTAACATACATCTGATACATTTAACCCATTCTGACAAAGTGTCAAGGTCTTCTTTTTCATGTCTGGCCCATCGACTGGCGTAGTCCTCTACAGAATCCATAATATTTATGAAATTCCGACGCCAGTTGAAGGATCGGGGTTCCCTAATTTTAGGACCTTTTAAAATTAGTGATCTAAGGTCCTCATTATTAACTATATTAACGTCACCAGTAATAACGTGTCCAGCAGGACTATAGTTATAGTGCGAAGAAGAACATGAACACGATGAAGGATTATGTTTCAGATATTCGATATCCAGAGCCTGTAAAGATATCTTGTAATTAAAAATTTTGGAAGCAATAGTCGATGTATATTTGTAGGAAATACAAGGTGTAGTCTTTAACTTGAAATATGGTGGAATACAAGACTGGACCCTTTTGTGATTAAGAATATTACTTATATTAACCGCGTCAATTCCTTTGTTGGCATATTGAAGTTTAAGGAAAAAACGGATTGTTTTAGCTGCATTTTCTTCAGTAAAACGCGGGGGTATAAAAAGCCTATGATTTGCAATATCCATAATCACAGATCCGAGCCTATATTCTGGTGTCGAGGAATCAAAAACTGGACTTTCCTCGACCTTTTCAAGAAGACTATTTAAAAGTTTCAAAGGGACAGAGTAAAGTTTGGTGCGAATATGATGTAGACCTAACTGTTGATTTACGTAAGGTAGTAATGAATCAAAAGAGATATCGTGTATTAAAGGTTTATTGTAAGACCGATGCCCATGACTACGCTTACGTCTCTGTGTATGGTTAAAAAGTCCCATCACATTTACATTGCTACACTGTGGACTGGAAAGATTTCCAACACTATCGACATTGTCATTACATCCATAGGGAAAGGCTGTCCCTAGCTTTCTAATCCAAAATTTTTCTCGTTGTCTACGGAAAGGTGTACTCAGTGATGGACTGTTTGTGTGGTGGTAAATAGAATTCTAACTTTCATGGACAAAATTGAATGATCAGGTAAATTAAAATGTTTATATAAAAGTTGCTGAAAATATAAAAGTGAATAAATAAAAACTCAATGAGAGATTCCAGATAATATATTTAATTTCTTATTTTCTATGAGAGAAGATTGATATAAAATATTGCGCAGGTGTACCTTAGTTTGGGCATTTCAAATAAGTAAAATACAAGACCGTTGCTTCCGCGTATTATTGAAGACAATGCAGCATTATTAAGGGATGCTATGAAGAAATATACCAAATCTTAAAAGAGCACAAATTTTAATATGTATTTGTTTTTGTAATGCTATTATTATATCAAAGAAATAATAGAAATAACAGTAAAATCCAACTCTGTATGGAATTTAACATGGTCCACTGATTTGAAAATCACGTGATAAATGCACCTAATGTTTACTGCATAAAGGCCAGGAAAAAATGAAGATTGCAATGGCAAACCCTCATTCATAGTAAAATTTCAATTCATAATTTGTTTCTATGCAATTTGTGCTTTCTGTAAAATGCTGATGCTTTCAATAGAATTCACAATTCATCAGTTTGAATTTCAAGTAAATGGACGCTGAAATTGACCTTCAGAGTTTTCCATCATTTCAAATTTAGCTGTGGTGCAAGATTTACGCAAAGTGCAAATACATGTTTGCGGTCATCTTGTGACCAAATTCTCAAAGGTACCACAAAATAAATTGGGAAAAAACATAGCTCCTATGAATCAATAGTTTAATGCACAAATGGCATTAATTATTTGGAAAATCATTGATAAATTCAATAATAAAAAACAATACATCGATTCCATATCGATGAAACATAGTGCCAAACAAAAATTAGAATGTTTCTTGAAATATCATCTAAACTGTAGAAAGACCCACCCAGACATAAACGTACTTTTAAATAAACAAATATTAGCTGATAGAATCTGAGCATAATTGTACTAGTAATAACAAGTTTTAGGGATTTTTCCCTAATTAAAAAAATAAGTTTACAAAAGGTAAATTATACGACTACAGTGTTGATAATTTGAT